CGGGAGGCGCGAGCAGCGGCAGCGGGAGCAGCGGCAGCGAGCGACGAGATCGCGATCGGGATCGGGATCGAGAGCGGCAGCAGCAGCAGGTTAGTGTTGGGTTAGGGTTGGGGTTATATCGGTTTAGTTGGTTCGATTGAACCAACAAACAACCGAACCAGGGTCGAACCAGACCTAAAATTCTGGTTCGGTCGCCTTGGTTTACCCAGGCGCTCGCCCGAAGCGCCCAGCGCCTGGGCTCGGGCGAGCGCCTAGGCGGCGCCTGTTTGAAGCGCGCCGCTTGGGACATTAGCGAGGCGCTCGGGCCTCGCCTCGCCTCGCCCGAACGCCTAGGCGAGCGCCCGAGCGCCTTTTGCAATCACTGCAAGTAACTCAGGCGCAACTTTTAAGTTTCATGTCCAATCCCCGTTTTATCCAACCTATTCTCAAGTTTTGCCCAATGCCTGTTTTAACATTTTAAACTCCATTGAAATAGGAACACTTTTCTACAAAAGGTCATTAAGGTTGTCTAGGGAGTTATGCACAATGACTAGAAAGTGTGATGTCATGATTTTTGTACTACGGTTAGTATCTTTGCCATTTCCTATTTTTCCAAATTTTCCTTGTATTTAGTACATGTGCTTTTATTGATTGACTTGATGGATATTTTCTATTAAATTATGATTAAGAAGATAGTTGGCAAAAATTACGGTTGCATCTTGAGAAAGAAAGTTTAGAGGGCCATCAAGATGAAAATCCAAGGATGCAATTATTTTTGCTCAAAACACTTGCTTGACCCTATCCTTGAGATGATATCACGTCAGGAACTTGATATATATATATATATATATATGTGTGTGTGTGTGTGTATGTGTGTGTAAGATCTCAATTCTATTTCTTCCTATGAACAACACGAATTCAATTTGGTTTCACAAAGAGCTAAGTACAGCTCCCAATTTGGTTCGACATTCTAATTTTAGTGAACAGCTTTCTCAATTAGTTATTATGGCTGCTTATGAATATTTTTTCATACTTTTCCACTTGTACTATGGTTGTAACCTGTGTAGCCCTTTTAAATTTTATGAACAGTAGAGTTAATTGTTCTTGCTACTTTGATCTTTTTCAGCTTATGGTGAATATTATCCCAGTTAATGAGAGCAGGAAACCACTGCCTGTTCTCCGAAGGACTCATTCCATGCAGTGGTAGATATTTCCTAAGCTGATGACAATATTATTGTCCAAAGAAGGAAGTCCATTCTGCTCACAGCGCATAGCAAGGAAAACATAATATATGGCATAGCTGATGCACCTGGCTTTTTCCTTGAAGATCCATGCTGACATTTTTTCCTGAAAATACTCATTTGTGAAGATTAATGGATGGAAACAAACAGAGGAGGAATTTGTAGATAGTGTTGTGTTATGCAGCTTCCTGACTAGTAATGTTTTTGCATCAATAATGCAAAATTACATCACTCTTTTATTTTAGGATGTTAGTGACACTTTTCACACTTTCATCTATGCTGGGCCCAGAGTCTTGAAATTTTCTTTAACAACAGTAGCTGCCCAAACTTGTAGCTTGTCAATTCTTATAGATGATCAAAGGAGAACTGTGCTCGGATGAGAAATTCTGTAATGAAAATAATGTTGGTCAAAGGAAAGTACCGACTCCCAATTCACTTCTCTTTCTTCAAAGCAGCTTTTGACAGCTTAAAATTGCTAATTAGCTCTAGTCCTTTGTTTCAGACGATTTGTTCCCACACTATTTGGTCGCTGATGCATTTGATGATCATCCATCGTTCCAGCAGAGACTAAGCCTTGAAGACTAGACCAGGAACAACACTATCTGAATGGAGCAGAAAGGTTCGACAACTTCAGGTTAGCATGTTAGAATGAGATATGTAGTGCCAAATGGTTGTATATTATTCTTGCATCATTATATTCAAGCCCCAATCTACTCTAGATTTCATGCCAGTTTGCAGGAGTTTTGCATTTTTCATTTGTCTAAAACTCAAACTCATCGAATAAGGTTCAACTGTTTTTCAAGATGTACATTGGCTCATGGCTTACAGGTACCTGTTCTCTCAATTCGGTTTTTGTTGCCAATATTCCGGTTTATGTTGGCGCGCATTTGGGACATGGACTACCACCTACAAAATTTGAGGTTAGTGATGCCTAAGTTTTACCATTTTGCAGTTTATTAAATGCCCAGCTTTTTTTTTTTCTTTTTTAGCTTTGGATTCCTGTTGCTCACTTCCTTGCAAGTGACCAAGTATTGTTTGCCTTAAATTTGATGATCCTGTGATTTTTGAGTATCACCGTAAGCATTAAAAGATAGTTGAAGATCTTTTTAATCAGCGAAGAGAAATTAAGATTTGTTAGAATTCAGGACAGTTGTGTGTGGCCCTATTACACTTGAAAGAATTCATTGGTGTTGATGCTTTCTATACAGTTTGAAGAAATGAGCTGCATTGTGATCGAATTACTATTTAGCGGCAAATATCATAGCACAATCTCTCTTTTTAGCATCTCTTTAAGTAAGAAATTCCCAACAAACTTATGATGCACAAGTGACTGGAGAACATCCTGGAAAAAACAAAAAAAAAATCTATACTGCAATCACCGGTAAAATACAGTCTCAGGTTAGATTATACCCCAATCTGAGACAACCATAAAAACACAGCTCTACGATCTTTCTATGAAGTAAACACAAAACTCGACACTCCATACAAGAACCAAGTGTTCTTGTTTGGAGGGCTGAAGAACTGAGTCAGACTGAACTGGTAAAAAGGGCCCAGGCATCACTCTCCGGCCTTGTAGGATCACCAGTAACAGAAGAAAGAAAGAAAGAAAGAAAAGACAGGCTTATTTGCTCGTTCATTGGGCGGCTCATGACAAGCAATCGAGGCCTGCGGTGCGGCTGCGCACGATCCGAAGGAATACCTCCCTGACTTGGCGCTCCAAAGGATCGAGCCCTTCCTTAAGAGCCTCGCAGACCTGCGCCAACTCTTCCACCCTCTGCCGCAGCCCCTTTTCCTCCTCCGCCGACATCGGCAATCGAATGCTCTCTATCTGCTCCGTCAATCGGTTCGTGCACCTCTCTATCTGCTGGATCTCCTTCAGCAGGCCCGCCCGGCTCTTCCTGTCCTTCCTCGACTCCTCCATCATCCGCTCGTGGAGCGACGTCATGGGCACCCCCCACGCGAAGGTCCGCGGGACCGAGAAGTGGGCCTGGAGGCCGCGGTCCTGGCAGGGGATCGCCGCCACCAGGGCCCGCATCGTTAGGAAGAGCACCGCGCTCATAGTGTACACGGGCACCGCGAACCCCGCGGTGGCGACCACCTCGTGGCTGCGGGGCGCGGCAACGTTGCTCCCGATGGCCTGCAGCAAACGCGACGCTGACCACGGGCGGGACGCGCTCCAGGAGAGGGAGCGGAGGCTGGAGAGGTGGCGGCCGCTTTTCGGCAAAGAGAAAGACGATCCGCTGCGGCCGAAGGAGCGGTGGCGGCGGGTGAGAGCGGCGCCGGCGTCCTGGTCGTCGAGCATGAGGTCGGCGAGGTCGGCCAGGGCCTTCCGGGCGCGGCGTAGCTGGCCCTCGCTGATCCCGTGGCGTGAGGTTCCGGCGTCTGGGCCTAGCGCTGCGACCACGATCTCGAGATGGGTTCGCCAGCGGCGGATCTGATCAATACCGTCGCGGGCGGCGTTGCATATGTCGAGGGCCTTGACGGCGCGGTCGGAGAAGTCGGCGACGAGACGGTCGAGTGGCGATCTTACGACGAGCGTGCGGCTTTCCTGGAGAAGAGCCCGGAACTCCGCGTGGCACATGAGGAAGGCGTCGAGGAGCCTGCGGACCCATGAGAGGGAGAGGAAGTCGTGGGCGCCGGGCGCGGCCGCGTCGGAGAGGTCGACGCAGAGGTCGGCGACGCAACGCTGGAAGTCGAGCAGCAACATCTCCTGCTGCTTGCTAGCGCCGGCGTCCATGACGCGAACCTGGTCGCGGCTGAGGGAAGAGGAGTATAAGCCCGTCGCGTGCATCCTTGCTTCAGTCAAACAGTTCGATTCATCCTCGCTTGGAGCCCCCTCCCGATGCGATGAACGGAGGAGGGCGCCTTTTATTCACGGAGAGGGGGATGTATTGGCTCGAGGGGATCACCACAGGCGTCCGCGTCCTTGCTTTCGGAGTCCTTTTGCCCGAATCCGAAAGCAACGCGTGCGGCGATCGTCGTCCATGTCGGATGAGGATGCCGTCGATGGAGGGAGCCGCAGGCATACGGTCCTGTCAAGCGGACCAAGTCCGAGTCATCGTTTCCGAGTCGCGAACCGCTTCTAGAAGAAGCTACTTAAGTGGACGAGAGCGCCCCCGACTTCCTCCGACTCCGTCCGCATGAACGGAGGACACCCTCGTCATTTCGCAGCCCAACGCGGCCCCGTGGAATAGGGACCGAGTCCAACATCCCGTGTGGATCAAAAAAGCAGCTGGTGCATCCGTCGCCGTCGAACGAGCAAGTTACGGAAAGGACCCACCTCACTCACGCGGGTCCCACGATCTGACACGGTGGCGCTACCTCATCTGCACCCCCATAAGTTGACGACGACGACGTGACTCTGAGCACGTTGGTCTCGGTCGGAACCCGAACGAGATAATCCCATGTAAGTCTGTTGACATTGTCTTCCCTAGAAAAGGCCACATTTGAAGTGCTCGAACTTGGACTCGAAGGCCAAGCGCCAGTCGAAAGGACATCATGGACCGATTCAACGATCCAGAGTGTTACCCATTCAACAATCATAGATATCTCCATTTTTTTATTTTTTTTATTTTAAATAATACCCTTTTTTTTTTATAATCTTATAAATATCCTTTCCTTTCCTCTTCTGGCCATCACCCCTATCACCTTCACGGACTCCGTCACTATCGTCAGCCCTTCCTCGCCCGTCACCGCTGCCCTCAGTCGAGATCCATTGCCTGCCCGCCACGTCGTTCCCCGCCCGATGCCATCAAGAGCAAAAGCACCCTGGGTGACCGGCGAGGAAGGGTAGAGCCTCATAGTGACCAGACGCAACAACCAAGAAAGAGATTACAAAATTATAAAAATAATAAAAATAATGTCTAGAAAAAAATTAAAAAGAAGGAAAAGAGCAGCATTTTCAATGAAATCGCTCATTAATATATAAAGCTAAAGAAAAAAAAAAGAAGGTATTATCAATCATTTATCTTACAAAATCATGATTTGGACACATTTGATCGGTTAAGGAATCGATCGTGTCCGAGATGAGGGGGTGGGAACATTGGCATGACGACGGGAAGGCGGCAGCAGGTCAAGCCCTCTCGCCCCTGATGCGGCGTGCGAGCTGGATGTCCTTGGGCATGATGGTGACCCGCTTGGCGTGGATGGCGCAGAGGTTGGTGTCCTCGAAGAGGCCCACCAGGTACGCCTCGGCCGCCTCCTGCAGCGCCGACACCGCCGACATCTGGAACCGAAGGTCCGTCTTGAAGGCCTGCGCGATCTCACGCACCAGCCGCTGGAACGGTAGCTTTCGGATGAGCAGCTCCGTGTTCTTCTGATACTTGCGGATCTCCCGCAGCGCCACCGTCCCTGGGCGGAACCGGTGCGGCTTCTTCACCCCTCCCGTCGCCGGCGCCGTCTTCCTGGACGCCTTCGTCGCCAGCTTCTTATGGGGCGTCTTGCCGCCCGTCGACTTGCGAGCCGTTTGCTTCGTCCTCGCCATCTCCTATTCGACTGCCTGGAAGAGGGATTTCGCCGCCTCTCGTCGTTTGGGGAATTGGAGCGATGAGATGGGGGAAGGGTGTATTTGTAGCGGGCAACAAAGGGCGGGAGCTTGGGAAGTTGGAAATGTTGACGCGCGTCTCCGTTGGCACCGTCGGATAGGGAGAAACGAAGGGACCGGATCTCGTCCTCGGTAGGCAACTGATGCATTCAAACGTCGTACCTTCCATCACAGGCATCAGGATGCGCCGACGCATACAAGCTGGCGAACGTCAGATCGTGATCGGACGGCTGTCAGGGGCCTGATCCCCATCAACATCTCAAAGTCCCGGCGCAGTCCGTTCATTGCACCACAGCAAACTCAAAGGTGGTTTAATTGGCATATGAAAGTGTCTTTATTTGCTCCTGTGATTCTTTAGAAAATATCTATATTTTAGATATTTCTCAAATAGTATCTTCCTTTTTTATTTTTTTCAGTATCCTTAATTTAAAAAATATTTAAATTATTTCTCAAAAAAATTTGTCTATTATAATGTATTATATTTTTGGGTTATAATTATAATAAAAATATTATATATAAGCTAAATAAGATCAAAACATATTAGAAATTACTTGTGATAGGGAATCATTCTTCTATATACCAATCCCTTCTTATTTATCATGATAAGAAAATAATCACAATCTTTCTTCTTAATCATTTATGACAAGAAAAATAATCATAAATCTTCTTTTTCATATTATAACGATGAATGTAATCACAAACTTATTTCTCATCCTCTAATATATAAAAAGACATCTTAAATCCAATACAAGAGATTCCTTTTGAATTACTTGAACTCACATTTAGGAATATTATAACATCGGAGAGACTAGGTTGGGAAACATCTCCTAACATCGATCTTCATGTAGGTTCCACCTTAGAAGCACAATATTTTCATCTCAGAAGCATAATATTATCGTCTTGAAAACATGATATTTCTATATTAGAAGCACGATATTTCTACATCGAAATCACAACATTTTCACTTCAAACGCATGATATTTTCATCTCGGAGATACCTTGGACATTCATATGCATCCAAGTCTGGACCACGTCTGGGTAGCTAAGACATTAACAATATTTTTTTCCTAAAATTCTAGTGTTAGAAGAAATGCCTCATGTGATAGGAACGTTCATCCATCAATCCACTAAATGAACGCTTCAACGAGGAGGCCCCGCCTCCAATCCATAATACTTTTACTCAATGGGGCAACTACCATCCTTCCCACATGTTGATGTATCAACTTCAGTACAAATGTTGATGAGGTACTAGCGTTTATTCAATGACCCAGGCCTCTTATACCCCTAGGGGTAAACTCAAGCTACCTGCTTATTCCCACCGAGATATTCTTAAATCTCACCCATTGAGTATAGATACTCGTAGGCATGATGGATGCTATCAGTCCTCTCCTACCTCAACTAGCCCAATAAGCGATGCCACCATCTCAGCCACGGTCGACATCTCAACCGTTGCTGACATCGGCACCCATCAGAATCCCCTTGATCGACGTGATGTCAGCATCTCAAGACCACCCAAGGTTCGTAAAGCTGCTAGGTGAAGAAGCACCCTGCTCCCTAATGGTAGAGTTTGGCACACCACCACTTTGCCTTGCCCTAATCGGAGACCCAATCGGTGGATTGAATATATGACTCCTTGAAAGTCCAACTATGAGAAATGGATCAATGCCTAGATGAAATGTGATGAGATTTTTGGCAATCTAGGGGAGAGAATCTAATCGATCCCTATTCACCTAAAACATTCAAAAAGAACCAATACCGACCAACTTTTGCCTCCCATCATTACGAGTCTTTGATAGTAGTATTGACTTGGTTGAACACACTGTCATCTTTCGTGCCTAGATGTCTCTCTATAGCACCTCAGTTGCTTTGATGTATCACACATTCCCAATGGCACTAAGAGGCCTGACATGAGAGTGGTATACTTGTTCGAAGTCACTCTCGGTCAACTCCTTCGCTCAACTTACAAAAGAATTTAAACTCTACTTCCTAGAAAGTATATGCCTGAGACCATCAACAGTAATGTTGCTTAGACTAAGGAAAGTAGAGGAAGAGACACTCTCCGACTTTGTCACCTGGTTCATCAATAAAATCCGAGGCTTGCAAGAAGCTTATATATCACTCAGGATTCAAGCCTTTATGATGGGGCCCAGACATTTTCGCCTTTTTTTGTCATTGGTGGATTGGCTACCATCAACCATACCTGAGGTCCTCCAAAGGGCCAACTAATACTTAACCGTTGAGGCGATGGCCTCATGTAAGCAAGAGGAGACGTGTAATAGGCCACGATAAAAGCAACCATCATTGGTTCCAATTTAGAGGTGACCTCAGCAAAGAAAATAAAACCGACTTGAGCGACCTGTTCATCCCTATATAGATGTTCCTAAATCTTAACCAACAGATGCATACTCTAATGGGCATGATGCAAGCTATTATTTTATTCTTTCCCCAGCTAGCTCAATAAGAGACCCCAGCAAGTTATAAAGGGATAGCAAAGTGATACCATGCCTCGTTTCGTGGATAAGTTATCCTTATTTGATCGGTGATCCTCCCCGATGACTAGTCGAGGACATCGACTTTTTTTTTATGACCTGCTCGGTCACCACAGCCCCCAAGCTAATGCAAACTAGGACTCCGAAAGTAGCAATGATGGCAAGTCCATCACCCTTGGCTAGTACTTCACTTCATCCTATAACGCCCAAGCAAATGCTAACTAGGTCTCCAAAGGTGGCAGCAACATTAAATCCATCACCCTCGACCAGCTCTTCATCTCACATCCCCCGAGCTAATGCTAACTGGGACTCCAAAGGCAGTGACGTTGAAAAGTCCATCACCCTCGGCCAACTTTTCAAGCGTGCCAACCATGCTCAAAATGATGATGTCACTAAGCAATGGCTATGCCTCTCTGGAGCACCATGTTCTCAAGCTTGATGACTTCACCCCTGGAGGTGATGCTAGTGACCACTTGGCCTTCTGCCTCGGTCCCCTTCATCCTCGTCTCAATTGATCTCTTGTACAACATTAAGAAGCATTGAAAGTTGTCACTCTTACACAAGAATGACCTTACCATCGACCTTGCCATCGAAGGCGATCTCTAAGACTGAGATGCTATTGAATTCCATCTTTAATGAGCCAGGGGAAGGGAAGATCTTCACAGTGTTGGGGACAAATAACTCCGGCAAGGCCACCCTAATCAATGCCCTTGTAAACTGTATCATGCAGGAGAACTTACAAGGTCTCATCACCCTCAATGGCAAGAAGCTCGAGGGATGGCTCCTTAAGGTGATCTCCGCTTACGTTATATAGGATAACCTCCTACACCCCATGCTCAATGTAGAAGAGACATTGATGTTCTCCGTAGAGTTCTGGCTATCGCGGTTGGGAAAACTCAACTTGCATAAAATGAAATTCACCACCCACGATAGAGGAAAGATCTAAAATCTACTATAATGGAGAAGAGACTTGAAATCTACCACAACAGAGGAAGAATTTGAGGTTCACAATGGTGGGAAAATCCAAAATCTATCAAGGCAAAAAGATGACTTGAAATCCACCAAGACGGTGGGAGAATTTGAAACCCACTATGACGGAAGAAGTCGAAATCCGCTATGGTAGAGGGAGGATCTAAAATCTACTATGATGAAGGGAGGACTCGAAGCTTGCCACGATGGAGACATAAGGCCAACGTGCATAAGAAGCATGAGTCGAAAAAACCCAACTCACATAAAAAATAATCTGCCATGACAGGGGCATAAGGCTAACATCGACGGGGGCATAAAAAATAACCCAATAACGTCTGACATCGACGTTGGCATGACATGAAGGATCGAGCTTGAGTAGGATGTTAATGTGCCTCGGTCGGCGTTCCGATCTGTGTTAACTAAGTGCTGTCAGGTTAACAGAGGCGCGAGGCGTCATCTGAGACAGTTGACGTCAACCCGAGTCTTATCGCCATTATTACCCTCATCATATGAGAACATTTCGGTAGTCTTGAAACCCCCTCGATCGATCTTAGTTCATCTACTACGTCCGAAAATTTGATGGATCACGTTAACGATAGTTCGAATTGGTTTAATTTCAGAGAATTTATGACCCATCGTTTATTATCCACATTGAATTGATTTTTCTAACATCAACACCGATTTCTCCCCCTTTTGGAGATAAAATTATCATATAATTATATTGTCTCGTATTATTGATGTGGACGACAATCCTTATATTGTTGATTCTTACTCAGATGTTGACCACCTGATTCGATCTTCTTTCTCCGGTCGAAGACATCTTTGACTTCAAGCGACGGAACACATCACGTGCTGATGTAATCATCAAACACGTACGCGCCGATTCCTCCAACCTTTCACCATCGCATCCCGACTCTACTACTTGAGACTCGACATCATGCATCCTGCATCATGCATCGTGCAACAAAGGAAAAGGCATGGCAGTGAGTGCATGGCCATACGTGGGTGCGGGGAAGCAGTGCATGGTCGCCATCGTGTATGCCGTCGATGATCATGTCATGAAATGAATTAATGGACGCCATGTGTCCATGCGAATCACATCCTTTTGGCTGACCCATGCAATGATGAATTGACTGTTTCATGCAGAGTAATTTGTTACTTAATTTACATTGTTGATTAATATATTTCATTTGATCGTCTTAAGTCGTCTTTATATATATATGTATATATATTTACAAATGGTTGAAAAAGTAAAATAAGATGGATCTCGCTTACGTACGAATCGAAGTCCACGCGGCACTGGATGACTGGTTGAGCGGGGAAGGGCCCACTGCCACGCCCTGCAAAACAGGCAAGGTGGGCGCCACGCAGTAAATGCCAATAAAGAGTGGCCACGTCGGGCGCATTCCATCCCCTCCGTGGCGTTCGCGTCGTTTCGGAGGCCGCGTAATAAACCTTCACCGCCAGTCCTCGGGAACGACACCCTTACACTGTTCCGTCCACGTGGGCGCGCCTTCCCACGCGAGAAACGACCCGGGGGTGGAAGCGAAGCAACCTGATAGTAACGTGCTCCCGAGGTGCACGGCTCGGGGTGGGTCGGCTTACCATCACCTTCGGTGACCGCACTCGACCTCTTCCTTTGGGTATATAAATATTCCTTCTTTTTCGCTTTTTGGTCTATTTTTAGTCCTTTTTGTTGCCTCCTTTGGCTTTTTGACTCGTTTCTCCTTTTCCCCCCACCTTGTGAGCGAGCTCGAGTCCGCTGCTCCGCCTCCAGTGTTGCTCCGCCGCTCCCCCTCTCCCCCTCTCCCATCACGGTTCTCCGACCACCCGAGGGCCGCTCGAGGAACAGACGCACCGCCGACGGGAAACCGCCCTTGTTCCCGCTTTAGGTCGGTGGTCCTCGTTGAAGTTTCCCACTTGGAAGTTACCGTCGGCGTCTCCTTTTCCCAAGTGCGGGGGAGGATTTGTTAGGGTTTTCTCGTCGGATTGGTGGAGATTGATGAGAGTCCGAGGGAAGATCTGGCATCTATGACGACGCCTGATCGGTGCTGGCGGCGCAGCGGAGTGGTACTCAGATGGAATGGCAGATCTCGTCGGCTCCGGGGATGTTGAGAAGGTGAGGGGGATTCGATTTCTTTCTACTTGCTATGCTTATAAGTCGCTTTTTTTGGGGTTTTATGGCAGGCGTATTTGATGATCACATAAAATCTTCCATCTTTTGTTCTTTTCCTGTTTCTTCGGGATATGCTTACTAAACAGAGCCTTTCTTTTTCTTTGATTTGGGGCTTGGATGCTGAGGTAGGGAAATTTCTTGTTATTTTAAGCATCAGTGCTGGTAGCTGTAAATGATTAGAATTTGTTTCTTTGGAGGTCTCGGGAAACAAATCTGGTATGTGTCGACACAATGGATGGAACTTCTGAATCGTTTGAGATAGAGGATGAACCACATTTCTTCATGATTGCATGGTTTGTGCAAATGGACGGTGGAGATAGTTTATTGGCTTGCTCTTGAGACTTGGGGTTTTTTGAGTATATTAGATATGGATCAGGCCTATCTTTTACTGGGACCCTCGATGAGCATTGGCGAAAAATGCACCAATTTTATCGGTACCCAATTATATCAATATATTAGATATGGATATGGTCTGTCATTACTTGGTCCCTCAATGAGCATTGGTGAAAAATAAACCAAATATAGATATAACGCAAACTGATACCCCTTGGGAAGAAGGTGACGACGAGGATCCATGCGTCTTAACCATACGAAGAACTTTCTGGTGTGTACAAAAATATAAGACAGGTAATGATTGGCACAAATGTCTGCGCACATTTTCCTTCAATCTTCTCTCACATGAAGGTCCATTGTCCGCGGAATGTGCTAGTGCCTTTTTGTTGTTAACTGGTTTTTTTTACCATGACACTGTGTGATAAACACTTATCCGTGCTCCATGATCATGATCTATCTCAAGATTCTTGTAATCTAAATTTTCTGACCCATAAGCTGGACATTGCTTCCTCTTTCATGAAATTTCTCACATCACCAGGAGTCCCACTTCCAATAGCCGCATAAAAGTTATCTTCTTGCTTATTGAATGACATCACGGTGGCAATTAATAATGATGCCCGATGTCCACCTGAGGGAGATTCATATTGCTTAGTATTTTGTTATTAATTTGGCTGGAGTAAATCAAACGGTCTTCTATACGGAATCAATTACACCTGCATTGCAGCAATTAAACTCAAATCAAAACATGCTATATATCAGAGAAACATCAAAATATCTGAAGCACCTTCTGCTGCATGGGTTTTTTTTAATCAAGCTTGCTCCGATACACATCTTTCACAAAGTTCTGCCAATAATACAATGATGCTCTGTCAGAGACATAGTGAGAAGATATGAAAGAATCTATCGAAGTATATTATCATGACAGCAGCAATTCATCCTATTTGAAGCAAGCATCATCGGTGATAAGGAAGAAATGGATGTAGTAGATCAAGTTTTTTAAGTGGGCTTCTCCTTGTCTCTAATCTATATAGAAAAGGAGGTAGGACCCTACTTGTGGGTTGGTGGCAGGTCTTGCCTGTTGTTCTGCCTTGCTTGTTTTTCCTCTCTATAAAGTCAAGCTGTTGGTTGGTTTAACAGTGGTCCTTGTGATGCTTCTCACTGTTACACCAAGAATGAAAAGACTGCATCATATATCGTAGTTCAAGGAAAATTAGGGTATAGAGAACTTGATATAAGACCAATTTTGATGTTGGATTCATGATTGTGCTTTGGGAGCTATTGATTTTGTTATATTCCTAGGAAATATTGAATTCCATGTACTGACAATGGATCAAGTCCAAGTTTGGTACCTGTCAGGCATTGTTTTTGGTCTTTGCATTCCATATTAGTGATCAAAATTATTTGCATGAACCTTCTTTAACATCAAAAATCCCCTTTCCTTTTCTCTTTAGATTTCAAGTTAATACTAACACCCAACATAATATAGCGGCAAGGAATAATCCACACAGATGGATGGCTGCAGTGGGAATACAAATTACAAGTGCTTCTTCGACTGTGATGGTCACTATGCATAACTACTGTTGGTCCTAAAATGCCTTTGGTCAAATGTCTAGATCTAGTTCCCTGTCTGCACTTCCTACATATGTTCCTGTAAGTAAGCAGATAATTTGGTCTCTTAACCACCACATGAGGACCAAGAAAAATATTGAACATATTGGATGGAGAAGAGGTTGAATTCTGCTTTTGTTTCCCTTATCTTAAAGACCGGCGATATTTGGAATGTATTGGAAGTTTAAGATGATGGCAGGTCCCACCATGGCTAACTGGTGGAACCCTTCTTTGCTTGATATCTCTTCTTCGAGCTCTTTTTATGTTATGTTTTCTGATGGGATCAACCGTTAATTGTACATAAAATAATTTCCTTCTATAATATACAGAATGTGGTATAAATGTTAAATTGTGGTTGAAGTTCCATCACTTATGTGCTTTTTCTTTTTGATCCTTCCTAGCCAGGTTCCTGGATCCTTAAATTTGATGCAAGACAGACTATAGTCTTGGTCATGCACTATCTTAGCTTCTGCCTACTTTTGTCTGACACCAAAACCATGCAACATATCTTAAAATGTAGAATTCGGATTCATCCTCATCGTCTGGTTCTTTTTTTAGTGGTGCCGTTAGATTCTCTTCGCTTCTCTATGTTATTAGTTTACAGTTTCCCCACATCATTTTCAGTTATATAATGCAAACCATCATTGTACTGCTTGTACTTGAGAATATATACATTAGGAGCATGAATCGTCTTCTTGATTTATTATGCATTTTCATAAAGAGTCTGTATTTTTCTTTAACACTCCATGTGTTTTTGAAGGCACTCCTTGCATTGAAGAGAGGCAGTCATTTGCTTAAGTATGGTCGAAAAGGGAAGCCAAAATTCTATCCATTTAGACTGTCTGATGTATGTATGCTTTCTTGCCTCTTATCATAGGAAAACCTTAAGAGTTAATAGATTTCTATAATCTAACTGTCCTTTGTCTGATAATTGTCTTTCATCTACGCATCTTATTCTATAATGAAGTTACACCACAATATATACAAGTTATCTGCAACATAAAATCATATGATTGTCTCATCATATATCTAGATTATATGTTGTATGCTTGAACAAGAGCAGACCTAGTTTAATAAGTTGATTCTACGAATGTTTTGCAGGATGCATCGTCATTGATTTGGTTATCAAGTGGTGGAGAAAAAAGTTTGAAACTAGTTTCTGTTTCAAAAATTATCCCAGGTCAAAGAACTGTAAGTCAATCTTCATAATACAACAAATTTGGAGGAAATTTTATAATTAAAAATAATTACAATTAAATTAATTGGGCTTCTGTATGACACTATATTGCTACTTTAGAAAACAATGATTCGTTTTTTACATATTTCTTTGTTAGCTAATTTTCAATATAATAATCTATTCATTTCAGCCTGTTTTTAAACGGTATCCGTGCTCAGAGAAGGACCACTTATCCTTTTCGCTCATATATGACAATGGGACAAGGTCTCTTGATTTGGTTAGTATATCTAAGTTTTTAATACTATATATTTGTTGATATTTCCATGATTCTATATGCTATTTGTCTTTGCTGTTTAGATCTGCAAGGATAGATTCGAGACGGAGGTGTGGTTTGCAGGCCTCAAGGCGCTGGTTTCTTCTGGTCATGTTGGACGACCAAAAATTGATGGATGGAGTGATGGTGGACTATATTTTGATGTAAATTTTATGCACCATAACCACTAGTAATAAACTACTAATATTAACTAATGGAGTGTTTCCAAATAGAGTTTCTTGACCAACTTCAGCCTTTAAAGATGCATATGCTTATAACGAGGATAACATTGTTCTTCATCGAGTGCTACTTGCATGATTTTGCAATCATTTTAAGTTGATCTAATTCTACAACAGATGGGTTTACTTTGTGCACTTCATATTTTTTATATATTGAGCTGAGATATGGTTCTAGCTTGTAGGAAGTCAACATTGCATCATATTTATTGGTTTGAAAGATGTTCTTGATTTAACTACTTCCTATTCATTTAATCTAGGGGTTCCATTCTTAGTTGGAGACTTCATTCTTTCCACTGAGGACATTGTTTTTATCAATGTTCATAAACCTATAGTGACTTGTTTGGAACACATTGCACGGGGAGTTGATTTAAGACATTATGTATGTGCCCCTGTTTTATTAGATCTTGTAGTTTAGTTACTGCATTCAGAATTGATGCAGTGTTTGCTAGTTTCTATGGTTCATGGCTTTCTCATCATTTTAAGAAGAATGGTTTGATATTTTGATATTCCTTCTAATGCATAATAGGCATGAAAAAGATAGTAACTAATGGATACTATAATCGATAGTCATTTTCTGTTGGTCTTATCTGAACCATAAGATTACTGAAATGCTGATAATATGCCTCTGTTATTTTTCCTGCTTGCCTAAGTTAGTAAAATTTTTGAAAGAGAACAAAAGGAAAGTATCTTGGTAATAATTCCCTATCTTATGTGTCTTAGTATTTTGCACCTCACAGTAATGTATTTGAGTGGGTAGTTTATTTTTTTAATTTTGATGAAATTGATTTGAAAGAACTTGTGTTTATGTGGCATATTCTTTTCAGTGAACTTCCTTTATGTGTGTGGTAATTTGGACAATTGTTTCAGGATTCCAAGGATTTGATATCTAAGAGTCCAAGTGAGAGGTCGAGTGGCTCCATTCTGGATAGTAGTTCTCCTGACATCAGTTATAGTATTAAAACTTCATCAGTGGTCTCTTCTGAAAATTTTGTACGCTTGGAAAGATCAGATGTATCAAATATGCTAGCAAAAGGTGCCTCTTCAGATATTATCAGAGTAAGTGTTTCTAGTGCACCCAGCACATCAAGTCATGGTTCTGTGCAAGATGACTGTGATGCTTTAGGTGATGTTTACGTGTGGGGTGAGGTCATATGTGAAATTTCTTCAAGAACTAGCACTGATAGAGGTATAAGTTTTTCTAGTGGAGGAGCCGATGCACTTTTACCTAAGCCCTTAGAATCTAATTTAGTTTTGGATGTTCACCATGTGGCTTGCGGAGTCAGGCATGCTGTTCTTGTTACTAAGCAAGGAGAAGTCTTTACATGGGGTGAAGAATCTGGAGGACGCCTTGGCCATGGAGTTGGAGCTGATGTTGTTCAACCTCGCCTTCTCGAGTCTTTAGCAATTTGTCATGCAGATTTGGTCGCTTGTGGGGAATTCCATACTTGTGCTGTCACTACAGCTGGTGATCTTTATACTTGGGGTGATGGCACTCACAATGCGGGCCTTCTTGGACATGGTAATGATGTTAGCCACTGGATACCGAAAAGAGTTTCAGGACCACTGGAAGGTCTTCAAGTTGCATATGTTAATTGTGGCACCTGGCATACAGCCTCAATAACATCAACTGGGAAGTTGTTAACATTTGGTGACGGAACATTTGGTGCTTTAGGTCATGGTAGCAGAGAAAGTGTTACGCAACCAAGGGAGGTAGAATCATTGATGGGCTTGAAAACCATTGCAGTTGCATGTGGTGTATGGCACACTGCTGCTGTAGTAGAGGTTATAGTAGCTCAGCCTGGTGCAAATGCATCATCGGGAAAGTTGTTCACTTGGGGTGATGGAGACAAGTACCGACTTGGCCACGGTGATAAGGAGCCACGACTCAAGCCTACTTGTGTGGCTTCATTGATTGATTACAATTTTCACAAGCTAGCTTGTGGTCATAGTCTCACAGTTGGCTTGACAACCTCTGGACAAGTCTTTACAATGGGAAGTACAGTTTGTGGTCAGCTTGGCAATCCACAATCTGATGGGAAACTTCCGTGCTTAGTGGAAGATAAGCTTGTAGGTGAATCTGTTGGTGAAGTTGCTTGTGGTTCATACCACGTTGCAGTTTTAACAATTAGAGGTGAGGTTTTCACATGGGGAAAAGGTGCTAATGGAAGATTAGGTCATGGAGATATTGAAGACAGGAAAACGCCTACCCTTGTTGAAGCTTTGAAAGACCGAGCTGTTAAATATATTGCTTGTGGTGCAAACTTTACAGCTGTCATATGCCAGCACAAATGGGTATCAGGTGCAGAGCAATCACAGTGCTCAGCATGCAGGCAAGCATTTGGATTCACCCGCAAGCGACATAATTGTTATCATTGTGGTCTTGTTCATTGCCATTCATGCAGTTCCAGGAAGGCCTTAAGAGCAGCCTTGTCTCCCAATCCTTCAAAACCTTATCGAGTTTGTGATTCCTGCTATGTGAAATTGAACAATGTTTTGGAATTTGGTGGAATTAATAAGAGAAATGGCTTACCTCGCTTGACAGGAGAAATCAGAGACAGGTTTGAGAAAGCAGAGATGAAATCAACAAGGCTAGTGTTACCTAGCAATTTGGATCTCATGAAAGATCTGGACATTAAGGCAGCAAGGCATGGGAAGAAAACTGACTCCTTGTCCTTTGTTCGAGCTGCTCATGCCAGTTCACTTGTACAGCTGAAAGATCTTGCTTTGGCTGGCGGGATTGATCTGCAGGGAGCAGCTCCTAGACCACTTCGCACGTCCATGGTTCAGTCTGTAAATCCTTCGAGAGCTGTTTCACCCTTTTCTAGAAAATCTAGTCCTCCACGTTCTGCTACACCAATTCCCACAACTTCTGGACTTTCTTTCTCCAAAAGTCCTACCGACACTCTGAAGAAAACAAATGAACTCTTGAATCAAGAAGTTCAGAAGTTACGTGCTCAAGTATGCTAAACTTTTCCTTCCTTTTCTGGATACCTTATGTGTCATTGGCAGCCTACTTTCTGTATTGACCTGGATTTGTGTTAGGTTGATAATTTGACAGAGCGCTGTGAACTTCAAGAAGTTGAGTTGCAAAAATTAGGAAAGAAAGCTCAAGAAGCCACGGCGCTGGCTGCTGAGGAATCTGCTAAATCAAAAGCTGCAAAAGAAGTTATTAAATCTCTAACGTCACAGGTTGATTCTTTTACCTGTTCCTATCATGTGCCTTTTCAATATAACACTATGATTTAAATTCAATATTAGGTTGCCTGTAAACGAGAATAGTTGGAGTGCTGTTATATTTATATGATTGTCTTGATAATTCTGGTTCTTTTAACTTGGTTATTTTTTTTGTTTTTCATTAGACTTGGGGCCAGAGCTTAACTGAGTTGAGTTTTCACAAATTGCAGACTTTCTTCCCAAATATTATATACTTGAAGTGCTGTCTTATAGTAGCTTTTCTATTCTTTCTACTATAGTTGGAAGGTTGGCTTTACAGAACAGAAAGTACTGTTGGTTTCAGAAGAACTATAATTGTTTGCTAGTATGACTATATCATTCTACACTCAGCAGCCACTATCTCTTGTTTGACTCATGAATTTTTTTTCGAACCCTTCTAAAATCAGATACTAGGACTTCAATGGTGATTGGAAGTAATGTAATGTGAGCTCTCTGATATTGCCATTACATATATTTTAAACTTAGCTGCCTGCCTGCCGGAGAACTTGTGAGACTCGTCATGACTTAAGATTAAGTCTGAATCTTTTTCTCTATACTGTCTCTGTTGATCAACCATTTTTTCAGATAAAACTGGAGAAATGTTTTATTATTATTCAATGTTACAATGACCACAAATTATTTTCAGCGGTCACTGTCTCTTGCATGACACTCGGACTTTGCCATCAAACACTTCTAGAAGGCACTTATGGTAATTGATATAATGAAAATGATAAAATAGAACTATGATTCTTTGGTATTACGATCCAGCAAATTGGAATCTTTGCTGTCCTTGTCAAAAATGTTTGTCAGACATACATAGTTGAACTAACATCTTCCCAAAAAGATGGAGGCTATGACTTCCTGATTGAAAAATGAAGCATGGAACTTAAAGCTATAAAATCTGTTGTACCTGATACGAAATATTAGGAGTTTAGAAAAATAAAAATCACTTGATTTGATGACCTTTTATAAATCATCAAGCAAACGTAAACTATGCAAAAATGCATCTATGTACATAGAAATTGAGGTGAGGATTCAAAAAATTGATATTGATTTAAACATTATGGGAATCCTGCATACCAATATCCAATGTATTTTGATGCTTCCCAATTACTGCTCAGTTCAAGAGATATTCGTTGCTACTATAGCAGTTGGTAATTTGCATCTAGTCGATATATAACTTAGAAAATTTTTGAACATGTGTTCGTTAGATGCTTATCAATTTAATTTCCTATATTCATCTTTTATATGGAAGGATAAATCTTAATCCTTTGCAGGAGACCAGAGCTCTTCTTTTTTTCTCTCTTTGCACATTTGCTCATAGATGTATATATAAAACATTTTACATTTAAAGCATGCTAGTTGTTTTTTTGGTGAAATAAAATTGCTATTAGTTATGCACATTTAAGAGCATAGTTGATCAATAGCTTCGAGATATTTCCCCAAAAGTGTATAACTTTGTTTGACATCTTATCTGATGTATAACCTTGTGATTGCTTCATATTAGCCCTATAACCTGTTATTCTTATAAATTTTATACAGAGGATACAGACTGTTAAGTTGATTGAAAATCTTGCAAACACCCCATTTTTTCTAACACGTAATGTGCATTGGACAGCTTAAGGATATGGCTGAGTTATTACCTCAAGGGGTTCACAAAAATGGTGCGATAAGATCAGCAGGCTTATCAAATGGATTGGACTTACATTCTGGTCCTTACTCAATTCTTAATGGGGATCACCAGCATAGATTTAGTATAAACAATGCTATGACAGCAGTGTCTCCTATGGCTTCTGAGTCTACTCTTACGAATGGAAATTCAGGACAGAATCATGCACTAATGAATGTCCATGAATCTCACAAGATGAACGCAAATTCACAAGACTGTCAATCACTGAATTCCAGTGAAATGGAAGAGGACTTCAGTACAGGAAAGCGTGACAGCAATGCAGAGAGGTCATCATCCAGCAGTAAAGCTGATATTGACAACAAGGAAACTGAACGTCCTCAAAATGGTGAGAAGGTTTATAAGTCTCGAAGTCCCATTTCAACAAGTAATCAAGTAGATGCGGAATGGATCGAACAGTATGAACCTGGTGTCTATATAACTCTAGTAGCCCATCGTGATGGAACTCGAGATTTGAAGAGAGTGCGGTTCAGGTAATTGTTCCTATACTTCTCTTTGTTCACCATTATTATGTGCTACATTATGCTTGATTTTCTTGACTATAATTGAACCCTGGTTTATCATGATTAACTTATCCATGACATTTTCTTTGATGGCCCTTTATAAGCTTCTGTTATTTTGAAATTTGTGTCTCAGCACAGATTTATGTTAGATGGTTATGATTGTCTATTTACCTTTAATTTTTATTGTGTATTGTTGTCTGAAGAGTGGACATATTTTGCAGTCGAAGAAGATTTGGTGAGCATCAGGCAGAATCCTGGTGGTCAGAGAACCGTGAAAATGTTTACGAGAGATATAATGTACGTGGATCAGACCGGGCCTCATCAGCAGTGTCACGCCAATCTGCACTTAGATCAGAAGAAGATTATATGCATTCTTCCAGGGCTTAGTGAAAGTTGGTTTGATCGCCAGAAAGGGAGGGGCAGATATCTTGCGTAGTATTTTGATCTTATGAGGTTGTTCTCATTATTGATACAGGAACTGCTGAGTCTATGCTTTGCACCTTTGAGATATGGAATATATGTATTCAATATATATTTTTCTACTTGCCAATACCATTTCTTCCTTAATTATACCTGTAGGTCTGCTATCATCTGTTGTATTGTAGTGTATAAAAGTTATCAAATATGAGAACAATAGGGGGCAGGGCATTTTGTGGCCTAATAACTGAGATAAAATCTCTTAAAATATAAAATGTAATTTTCTATATTCTGCTCTGCTATGATTCCTCTGTTTGATAAAATTTTTGTTTCCTTTTAACATGTTTTGGACTTTAGGAGGACGTCATCCACGTTAAGAAGTTCTATTACAGAATTGGTGATAATTGGGCCGGAAGGTGTACCAAGACTTCCAGGGCTTGCAGATAAACTGGTTTTCTACCAAGAATTGGTATGACAGTTCAGTGACAATTGCAGATGCTGTTAGATGAGTGGAATCAGCCTCAATGGGTCATACAACCCCCATTGTAGGTGGACTGCAGGAGACACCGATGATATTTTAATTTCAGTCAACTGTGTGGTTTGTCTAAATCATGGAAGATTTCTTCAATGGCCACTAGTGCAACTTCAGCCTACTTTGTAGGCAACTTTATTATCTTGATCTGGATTCTAGTTGGTTCTTTGATGTAACCTGAGATGATAATTTTGTAAATGCAATCCCTCTCGCTGATTCCAACTTATGTTCATGTAGTAATGGCTGTAATATCTTTTCATAATGTTATGTAGAATTTCTGCTCTGTGCAAATTGGAACGATGCACTATTTTGCATATCTTTTTTGTTCTTTTCAATCTCCTCCATTGTCTACTCCATGATATTGACACTGGTTACATCAAGATGTTGCATAAATGTTGTTTATTACCTTTAACTATTTCCTGAATTAATTACTCTTTTTCTTGTACAGGTATGTGCTCCTGTCCTGCAAGCCAGTTATGATGCATGAACTTGCTTCGAGTTACTGGTATGTGAACTTGGAAAAAATGTTAGAACTAGAATGAATTGTTTTATGCTTGTTACCTGTTATTACCAAGTAGAGAAAACTCATTCAGTTATATCAGTGAGTTTTGAGGTTAATGAACTATAGATGTGATTCATGATAAACTCTTCTAGTGTTCCATAGAAACATGGCCTTTATGTTGCTTTCAAGTGATGTCCACCTCTACAATTGGATAAATTTGATTGAAATGAAAGGACCAACAGAGAGAAATACCATGTCAATCTATTTGAACAAGTTCAGATGATTCCCATGTGTTTGGGGCGAAATCCTCTGCCTTTGTTCTATCCATTTTAGTCAAGTCTATCAATGCACACATATAGTAGGTATCTTCATTCATGAAAAGAAAGCATCCTCAAGAACCTTTGTTTTTGTTTTCCAATTGCTTCAAAAACCCTAGTGTGTACTCTGTGTTTTATTATCCATCTATCTTTCTAATTTTTTTTTCTTTCTTATATATATTTCTTGCTATTATATACTGAGTATCAGACGATAACCATCTGAATGTCTCCTCATAGATGAATGCTAATTCTTTATTACATGTCACATTTCTGCAATGCTCAAAATCATGTTAAGATAACTATTGAGCTTTGAAGTGTCCCCAAGTGGTATTCAGTGGTTTTAGCATGAAATTTAAAAGGAATAGTTCAAACCCCACACCCATATGACTAACTCAAGTAGGATTCTTAGAATTTAAGTTAGATTGGGTGTAAATTGCTACTATTAATACTAAAGTTCTTCAAATGTTACAATCCTTTCCTTTTCCTTTGCTACCAAATGGAAGAGTAGAATTATCTAAGATGATATGAACATTTCCGAGAAAACATATAAATGACATGGTTAGACAACAAGTGTCCATTAGTATTAGTGATGTATGGATGAGAATTGAAGGGGCACATAAAAGGACTTTACTTAAAATTTGAATGCTCTTGTTTTGCAGAACCAAGGATGGAAAAAGATGCATGGAGCTTGCCCCAAATGATCAGGATATGTAGCTGCTGCTTGTTTTGGTTGTGGTTGTTGTTCTTGATCACTAGAAGATGAAACCATAGATCCTTTTAGGTAAACTTTCACATCAACTTATTTGGGAGAGATCACATCACATCCCCAAGTCTCCATCCACCCACATGGGACATAACATGTGGACTTCAATTCATGGAATTTCTGATGTCTGGAATCTAGGACAGGAATAGGATATGGGTCACAATCCCTCCTAGACTGGGACAAAATGACCAGCTGTCTGAGATCACCTTCTGGGGGCAGCTTAGCCTCTTTTATTTTCACAAGACTTTTTATCTCCATTTTATTTCTGGGATTCGAGCTCCTTTTATAAATGGTTGCTTGGCTACTATAGTCTCTCTGTCCTTTAAATATTGGAGAGCATGACTGTGTTTAATGTAATCCATTCTTTCTGATATGCATGGCTAGATAGAAAGTAGTATGGTTTCTGTTTCTCACACAAATTAGGTTGCTTATGAATTTACCACTGACCATGTTGGATTTTTCTCGTAAATGAAAAAAAGTTACTTACTTATCCTTCAGGCAAAAAATTGATGTATATTGATATCATATATATAATGTCGTTTTATCATAATAGTTTAAGCATCCTGATGTTTCCAGTTTGAGGTCATGGAGTGGTTGAAGTTTTACTTGTGTGTTAACTCAAAGATTATATTTGGATGTTGGCTAATTACATATTAGCCACTATAATTAGATATCTTAGTATTTCGGTCCTTACGTTTTAAAAGTTATATTGGTATTTCTATAGTTATGAGAATGAAACATCTTAGTCTATTTATCCTAATGTCATCAGTTTTATTGATGAAAATAAAATGTAAAAAGATAATTTTAACGTTTCAATTGGTGGTAGTGGATGACGTCGGTGGTGATGGACGACGACGTTGCTAGGGCCACGGGTGGTTATTACAGATGAGATTTTGAATGAGGAGAATGACGACAAGATGTAAGGGCCGTTCGACATTTACATCGACAATCCTTTTGCCACTCGATAATTGCATTAATATTGATGTTGATGCAAATGTTGTCGAGCGACGAAAGGGTCACTTGACATCTACATTAATATCGATGCTGATGTAAATGTAGAACAATTTTCACATCTTGTTATCATTTCATTTTCCTCATCCACGACAGTCACTCTTAGCGTTGTCATCCACCAGAATAAATTGGAACGTTAAAATTATTTTTTTGTCTTTTGTTCTCATGTTTTCGTTGATAAATCTGATAACGTTAAGGTAAATGAATTTATATATTTGACTTTTGTTAAAAATAATTTTTTAAAATATAAGAATCGAAATACTAAGGATAGTTAATTATTTCTTAGACTTGACAATTCAGAACCCATTCTTTCTCTGTTCTAAATGGCAGCAACAGCTCTGGAATGAAAATTTCTTCACGAGTTGCAGATATAGAAATCACACAAATAAACCCACTGGTGTGCTTATTAAACATATCAAATGCTCACTTATTGGAATATTCACTACACATGAATGGCTAGAGATATGTCTAAGTATGCTGTGCTGAAACCGAGTGATCAAAGATCTCCCACGCTTGCCGATTACTTGCATTATGGAGGATGGCATCAGTGTCATTGGCTTGTGAGAACAACAGTTCCACATATGCCCCATGAGTGCTAAAAGGTAGATATTGTACAGTCTCTAAGATCAGGTGTGCCATCAAAGACCCATCCAATCTGTCAAACTTTAATTGGTGTTCTATTGCAGACCCCACGCTAAACAAAGAGCATGAGCTCTAAATCACAGTTGCATTGCAGACAAGGTGGCACTAATGGATGAAAAGTTTCATGAAGGTCATTGTCTTCCAAGTTGTCTTGCATAAAGTGTACAACCTCTTTTTGGACTTATCCAGGAGAGAAGGAAATAATATTATTATCAAAGGGTTATTAATCTTGATCAGGGAATATATTTACTCAGAGGCAAGGACATGGGTGAATAGAATAATAGCCTGTTTCTATCTGTTCTCTGGTGCAGTTGCAAGCAAAGGACTGCAATTTATTATGCATGCTGCCCACCTTTTGGCAATCAATGCAGGGATATGCCTGTCAGAATCTCTCTTTGGAGTTTGTGGAGGTTAGAATACAAGAAGCTTCTTCTCTTTCAGTTTTATTAGGTCCTTGAGCCATCAGAATACCTCATTCACATGAGAGCCACAAGTTCATGTACTTGGAACTGTAAGCTGAGTTGTTCCTCCAGCCATCCAACTTTAAAGCTTCCACACAACATCATCTCCATCTCCTTGGACTTTTTCTTTCAGAACTGACTTCACATCTACTTCATTTTAGCTACCATTCTCCTGCACTGGTGGTACACAGACCAAACAGCATCTGCTTTCCCAAACTCTTAGTATTCCTGGTTGGGAACTTGGGATCCATGTTGGTCTCATGAATCCAACATGGGAGATCATATGCAGTTTTCATTTCTGCAGGATTGAGCTCCTTCTTTGTTAGGTCTACTTTGGTATGATTATTTGCTCTTTTATTATTTTATGAGCCTTATCATGTTTGCCACTTAATAACAGCATTTACTTTTGTGAAATACATAATTCTTGTTCCTCATTTGAATTAGACAATGAAGACTTGTAGTCCTACCACTGCTTCAGACCAAAAAAAAAAAAAATCAGATTATTTGGTCTGCATAAATTTATTGGTTTGTCATATACAACCTGTGAAGTGGGCTGGAATTAGGCTATCATTACATATTATTACATGCAGCAAAATGTACTTTGCTGAGCCATATTAATAATGAAGAGATGATGCCAGGTGGAAGTGGTCTGTCTGAGTTGGAATCTGATTTGCCTACTCCACCCCCCATCCTCTGAACTCTGGTTGGTGAGAAATATTGTTAGGGTTAAAATATTCCTTCCAAGTTAGACTTGTCTCCCATATCTAAACACAAAGAACTGTAAGAACAGTGTTCATTTTTTTTTTTTTTTTTTTGTGGTCAATAAAGACAAGTTGTAAAGCAAAATTCCCCACTGTCACCTTTTTGTCAAAAAAGCACAAATCAACAAGATGTCCTCTTTTCCACCACCCACTTACTTTTTGACCTGAAACCCCATAGTATGAGCTCCATTCAATTTAATTATAGGTCATGTCATCATTTGTCAAGGATTTAATAAAGATGATGTAGATGAGGGCACTGTCAAGATTACATGTGTCTCTCTACAATTTCCACCTCTTAGATCTCACCATGTCTCAGACATTCCTCTCTTCATGGTAAAGTACAAAAGATGACTGATCTCTCCTTCCCTTTTACCTAATTCACATTTAAGTCCCACCTAAACTCTTATCAATCTTTCTTGGGTGCTTAGATGTTAAAAAGAAGTGAAATTGCTTTTGCAATTTTCTATCATAATTATTTATAGTTATCAATGGAATCATAATTATTTATAGTCTTGATACCTTGGAATCAAACACTAAGGTATTATTAATATATGCCTAATTATAAACATAATTCATGTATTAATAGATTTTATATGAATATTAGTCTATAAAAATCTCCCTATTAATCAGTACAAGAAATAGGAGATTCCCAAACCGGTCCATCGGTTCCGGTTCAGTCTGGAGAACCGAAACAAACCGAAATGGACCGAGTGGACCGAGCCCTCCTCTTCACGTACAACCGCGGCTCCCATCGTTCGCGTCTCGATTCCTATATCGTCCATCCGAATTCCAATCCGAATCCCTCCTCGGAAGACCACGGACCCATCGAATTCGACGAGAAGAAGACGAGATCGATCGGGTTCTTGCGGACGGACGACGGAGGGGAGCGTGCTTGAACCCCCGGCGCCAGCCGCGGAGGAGAAGCGACGGAGGCCTTCTTTTTTAGTCGGTAAGTACAGGCATCTGAGCCCCGTTGACGCGGAATCGTCGGCCCGGATCGTGTTCATGGTAAAGGTTGGTTCTTGATGCGGCCAAGGAGGGGCGGCGTTAAGGTGCGGTTGGAAGCGGTCAAGGACGCGCCATTAATGGCCGAGGCGAGCGTTCGGAAGCTGGGAAGGCGCAACCAAACCCCTCATAGGTCGAGGTCGTGCAAAAGCAACGCTACAACTGATCACCAGACCAGCAGCTCGTGGGGGCGAGGGAGAGAGAGAGAGAGAGGCGAGGGCAGCTGTTGGTTAGCGATGGGATCACGCCTGCCACGAGCGATCCCTTTCAGTAGCTCTGAGCGGGCTATCGACCAGGCTGTACGTTACGTTTTCCGCAGCTGCGATCCAAAAAGCGCCATTATTGCAGCCGAGAAAGGGAATGGAACGCAAAAAGCCGGTCGCTTTATATAACCCGCGAACTACAGGATAAATACCCCTTCTCTCTCTCTCTCTCTCTCTCTCTCGCTGCGTGTGTGGGAGATTTTGGGAAGGAGAGCTTTAGGGAGGCGTGCCCACCGCCGCTCGTGTCTGCGTCTCGTGCGGGCGCGGGTGCTGCGATTCGGGGTGCGGTTACCTAGGGGCTGTTTCGTTCAGGTTTTAGCTTCTTAAGCTACATCAGAGTGGGATCCGATGCCTGGTTGGCGTCTTCTATATTTAGATTTCAATCCATCACGCGCCGTTCGTTTCTTTGCCATTGCCTCTGTTGAGAAGGAGACATCGGTGGGGAGCGGGGGGTGCTGGTGACGAATCGTGGAGGTCTCCTTTGCTGCGACCGGCCGATGAGCGCCGAATTTCCTGTTGTATCGCAGAATTTGAGGTACTTGTGGTTGGAATAATACGAATCGATCATTGGCTTGGTTTTTGATGAGGGGTTTTGGGTCTTTTTCTTGGGGGGTGATTGCTTTAGCTGATCGTACCGTCTGCAATGGAATAGTGTGCTGAAGGATGGTTCTTCGAGCTTTGGCTGTTGGGGTTTGGCGTATGAAATCAATTCACAGTTAGGTTTCTGGAACTTACAAGACAACAGGAGTATTAGGGCTTGTTGTTATCCTGGAATTCTGCTATATCTATGCAGTAGAATATTTTTGGTGTGTTTAGTTAGATGTCATCACTGATATATTGAGAGCTTCAAGAATATGGTGCATTTCTTGTATATATATGTCCATGAATTAGGTCTTTTATTAGGAATTTTGCAGGCTTGATCGTCATGTACTGGATTTTTTTTGTTTCTTTGAAGGTTTTCTTTTTTGGTGTGTGTGCAAAATTGCACACCTAGATAGTAAATTTTATGATTGCCACTGAACTATAATTGTGAGTAATTTTGCATTTCCTTTGGTTTTCTTTTTCCTGTTTCCGGGATAAATATTTAGGAACTGAAACAGGCATTTTGTTGGAGAGAAAAAAGGTTCCCCTGTTGCTCTAATTATATCTTCAATAAATGTCTGTAGGTACAGCTGCAGCAGAAGAGACTCAAGTGCCTTATGAGATGCAGGGATGCTGATGAATCATGTGCTTCTGGCCCTTAGAGTGGCAGGAAGAGCTTCCTGATCGCTGCCTGATCCCGCATCTTGGCAGAATTCTGATTAAACATGCCGATCTTCGACGAGGGAGAAGATAACTTCTTTGACGCATATGATGAGATCAGGACTTCCATTGATTCCTCCTCATCTGACAATTCCCTTATCACAGATCAAGTTTTGGAACTTCAGAGGACTGAATATGAACTATGGACGAAGGAGCCAATCAGTGTTGATGACAGGCGTAAAAGGTTCTTCAGAGGAATGGGTTTTGATGAACTTGTACAATCTCCTGTAGGCTGCTCTATGGATACTGAAGATTCGACAATTGGTTCATCGGAAGAGAAGATGGATGCTAAAAGAATTATGACAACCAGTGATGTTGTCTCGAACAGTTTGTCATCTCCTGATGTTGGAGAACCTGAAGATTCTTTCTGTTGTATAAAGGATCTAGATAGTGGTAGACAATTTATGGTTCATGAATTTGGGCAAGATGGTTTTCCCAGCATGTTCAAAGAACTTGGCTCAGAAAAGTTGATGACACTGCAGGAGTTTGAAATTTTTCTTGGCCTCTCACGGTCTGTTCAGAAACTCTCAAGGAAAGATGTCGTCCTCTTTAGGGAAAAGACTATTTGCAGTCATGATACAAAGAAAAACAACTATTTAAACTGGTGGAGAAGTTTCACAAAGAGGAGGCATCGTGTGGGAGCAAGCAACTATAATGTTTCTGTTAAGAAGACCAGACTAACCAGGTCAATGAGAACAAAAGTTCATCGATATAGGAAAAACTGCATGGATTTCACTGCACTATACATGGGTCAAGAGGTTCAGGGACATAAAGGTCTGATTCGGGCCATGAAATTTAGTCCAAGTGGGAGGTATCTTGCAAGCGGTGGTGAAGATTGTGTTGTACGCATTTGGCAGATTATTGAAGCTGAAGATTCATGCAAATGTGTTACTACAGATGGATCATCCAGATTTGTTGGTAAAGTTAAGGGTACTAAGTTGGTTGAGGGGAAAGCTAGCAATGTGGCTCCAGTTTTTATTCCAAAAAGGATTTTTAAGATTGAGGAATCTCCGTTGCTGGAATTGAGGGGTCACACAAGTGATATCTTGGACCTATCTTGGTCTCAATCTAATGTAAGTCCAGAAGAACTTCCTTATTCTGACATAACTTGATGTCTTCTGTTTATGTGCTAATATTTCTAATTCACACTCAATAATAGATCCATTTCATGGCTTTAAATGACCGTTCATTTTTAAGATGATTTCATGGGATTTTTTTTCTGTCCCCTTAGCTTCTGAATCTTTACATGCTTAGCCTATTAAAAGCTAAGCTACTAAGACTTCTGTTCCATTATTTTTATAAGTACCTTCTCACTTTTGTTTAACTGGAACCTAATCTTTTCTTGCAGTTTCTGCTGACTTCCTCTAAAGATAAAACGGTACGCTTGTGGAAAGTTGGTTCTGATGGATGTCTTAAAATTTTCCAACACAATAATTATGGTAAATATAATAATTTCTTTTTTTTGTTCCTTTGCATTTAGCTTTATTAAGTCATCTGTTTGAATAGAGGCCATAAAAATATGTGAAAAGATTAGGGTTCCTTTGCAATTAGCTTGTTAAGATGTCTCTTTGAATAAATATTATAAGAGGCTGTTGTGTTTGTTTTACATGTAATCCTATTTTGGTTTTATTTATCATGTGTTGAGCACTTTGAGTTGAAACAATTGAAATTATCTAGTGCTGTTAATATTCATAGTTGGATAGCTTGACATTCTATTCATACCTGTTTAGGATTCTACATAGGATCCATATTTTGTGCACTTTGAGTTGACAATTTTGAAAATATCTAGTACTGTGAAAATTCATAGTTGGATTTTTTATGCATACCTGTTTAGGATTCTACATAGGATTCTTATTTATTTTTCCAAGGAAAACTTATTTTCGTTTTGCTTTATTTTCTTTGAATCAGTGACTTGTGTTCAGTTCAACCCTGTTGAAGATAGATTATTTATTAGTGGCTCAATTGATGGCAAAGTTCGAATTTGGGACATTCTAGAGAATCGAGTAATTGATTGGGTTGAAATAGGGGACATGGCAACTGCTGTATGTTATCGGCCAGATGGAAAGGTTTCCTTCGGATTTGAGTACTTATGTGTTTCCATATTTTTGCTTCATTAATGCCATTATTATGATGTTGTTCCAACTATTGGATCAGGGATTTGTTGTTGGCTCAATCAAAGGAAACTGCCGCTTTTATGACTGCTCAGGTGTATTTCATTTTCTGTTTTTTCCTTGATTTGATTCACTCATTTCAGTGATAAATAACTTGTTTCTTTATAGCACATTCTTTTCTCACATTGATGCAGTTTCCTTGTTCTTAGTTCAACTTCATAGCCTATTCTATGGCAGCTGTTTATCATTTTTTTAATTTGTTCTTTTGGATGTAGCTAAAACAATGCAGCTTGATTTGCAATTCAGTCTATGCAGTAAAAAGAAGTCTTCTGGCAAGCCAATTACTAGCCTGCAGGTTAGGCATCTGAATCTGTGGTAATCACTAACCTTGTTGTAAGATTTTCTTGGTAAAGTTTGTTTAACTGTAAGTCTTGTGGTCCTTGCAGTTTTGCCCAGAAGATTATAAAAGAATTATGATCACGTCGGCAGACTCGAGAATTCGTATTTGTAATGGGGTTGACATCATTCTTATACTCAAAGGTGCGGCAAAATTATACCTTCAAACTTCTTGGAAGTCTAGTGTTGGATACACCTAATTTGTCTCAGTATACATTATATGTATGTGCTGGCCCAAAGCTGGCATACATTTAGTATGGTGCATAGTTCTTAAAAACTTCCTTCTAGATACTTGAACTGGAAATTCTTTTGAGGTATGGTTGAAGATACAGCAGAAATAGCATGTTTAATTGATATATGTCCGTATTCCAAATTTCCAATGGGAATGTCAGAGATTGCTTCACCTCTTGGAGTCGCAACTTCCGGTTTATTAATATAACTTTTGTATTGTTTACCCTTTTCCACAACCCATGAGGAGAAAATCATTATACTGCCAAAAGCATCCAAATCTCATGCCTTTCGATTTTGATCTTTGGAAGTCCATCACAATCATGGAAAATATTTTTTTGATGTGTTCAGGGCAACTGCAGTTAATATTTATAAAAAGAACTATATAGGTGGACCAAGTCACCTTTGAACTTTGAAATTTTAGTTTATGGATTCATTTATATTTCACTTATTGAGTGTAAAATTTCTTTGAGAATAGAATTTCTTTTAAAAAAATATCATAGCATGTGAAATATTTGCATTATTGTGAAAGAGTGTTACACTTAGATTCTGTATGTGTAGAAGTTGACATTTGGTAACTAGGAGTGAGAGAAAATTTTCTTATATAGTAAATATGGTCAACCTTTATTATGTTGATTTTTGGCTACAATGAAATAACGAAATTCTCGTGTTGGTCTTCATATTGTAGGCAATATCTTTTATATTTTCTTCTTGATCTCGATAAATTTGTACTTCATTGTGCTAATTCGGAACACAATGTAGGTCACAGGAAGGCCAAAAATCAGTTGTATGCATCATTCAGTTCAGATGGACGACATGTTGTATCCGTGGGTGAGGATTCCAATGTTTACATCTGGAGTTATGATGTATCAGGCAACCTACCATGCAGAGGTCCCAAGTTGATTCGTTCATCTGAGTTCTTCTTTTCTAAAGGTGCATCAATTGCGGTACCATGGCCTGGCATGGGCTGCAACGACAGAGAAGCAATTGTCAACAACAGTAATCATATTTCCTCTCAACCACAGAAAATTTCAGAGCAAGTCTGCCGGCTAAAGAATCCGGACTGCTTGTCTCTCGGTGCATGGCCGTTTTCTGATGGTTCATCAAGGGTGTCGGCTACATGGCCTGAGGAGAAGCTTTCTTTGCAAACGAAGCCTCGGTTACTGCCTGAAGACTGTCATCAGCAGTATCACCATCTCCATCATGATTACTGGAGCCTTACATCAATGGCAAGCACATGGAATTCAGTCATAGTGACAGCAGGAGATGATGGGGCTATCAGGTCTTTCCATAATTTTGGATTGCCCATTAGGCTGTGAAGCAAGAGAAGGCATTGTGCAATACTGGATAGAGAGGCATGTCACAATAGTCAATAACCAGCACAACATTGTGATCAGACACCTGAACAATCTGCTTTTGTTAAAGATAGCTTACAATCCCGATTGACATGAGCTCTGGGTAGTAAAATACTGCAGTCCGAAATATTCCTCTTAAACAACATGGTCATGATCCATCTGGTGTTTACTCAGGCACATGATACTTGATAAAGCATAGGGGTGCAGAAGTTTGGTGTTCTGTTCTGGAAGGATCAGAGCAAACTTTTCTTTTTTCTTTTTTTATATAGGAAAAAAAGGAGGAAGTTTTGGAGGGTGGATTGGCAAAACTGAATGCAGTTTTTGTCGATATTTATCTTTGTTGTATCGATGAAACCAATTCTTCATCATTCAAAATAATAACTTGTGTTTTTCTTTGTAACAATAACAGCAGAAATTTACGAGCCGTCCAAAGTTTGCTCTCATCTCAGATTAAGAAATTGGTCTACTTGTTTTGAAGTTGTAATTATTGATATTTGCTTTCATCGGACTATTGATGTTCCTCAAGTGATGGTTAACATTTGCTTGCCCTTCTCAAGGAATGTAAAGTTGGTAAAACTTACTGTTCATGAATTTATGTTTTTCTAACAGCTGCAGATCAAACACCTCAAGAAAAAAGAACCAAGAGAGTATATGCAATCCCACTGTTCATCCATCTACTGAAACAAAATTGTTCCTTGTCTATATCTCTTTTACATTTCAGCTTGGTCTCACGATCTGTTGGCCAAAGAATGAGCCAGCTTTCTATGCCAATTGCTTAGGGATTAAAAGGAAATCTTGAGCCAGTCTCTTTCCTTAGGGTTTTAAATGGAATAGTTGTTATATTACTGGCTGATGTTGACCTTGATGAGTGTGCTGCCTGCACTCATCAGTTCAACTTACATCCTGATTAGTTGCTTGGAAGTGGTCTTGACCATCTTCAATCCTGCTCTCATCACATCTTTTCTGAATTTTAGCTTCAAGAATTATGAGTTGTATATAGTTCTTGATGAATATGAAATAATTCATTCTTTCATCTTTTAGTGCTTATCAACCTTGCCAAAGCCATCATTGTGAGAAGGTTGTCACCCTACTTGGTGGATGGAATCAGCAGCAAGTATGTTATTCTAAACACTAAACTCAATCAATTCTGAACACTAACTCATCAATTCAGGATCTTTCTATTTCTTGCTGTTGAGATGCAGTTGATCATGACATATATCCTGCTTTTAACATAATTGTGCATTATGTAACTGTAGGAACATAATCTACCTTTGTTAAACTTGCAGAATGACAATCTGATCTCTTGGCATCATAATGCATAATAATACTATCTGATGTATCTTTTGCTGCAGTGAACTTCTCTTGCTAGTCAGCATTTCACACCTTACATACATGCAGCTCATTATCCATATATTGTGCAAGTTCTGTGATTTGTATCACTTGATTTGCTACTTCAATGAATCAGGACAAAAATTCTCTTTCTTATTCTGTTTTCTTTTGACTATTACACATGCAGCAAGTACATGAACAAGCATCCAAACTCTGGAATCCTCACAGCATGAGAAGGGTCTTCCAAAGGACCCATATATGCTTCAGCTAGTTTTCCTGATTTAGTTTGTATCCTGAATAACCATGTCATTTGTAAATCTCCTTTTAACATGTTCTTATCATCTTATCAGTAGTATGGGGGGTGATTGAATTATCCTGTGAAACCATATCCATGTTCATCATTACACCACAATACACAGATAGCATTAGAAGGAAACTCTTAGCCAAAGAAACCTCTTTATTTTCAATCTGGCAAGCCATTCAATAGTTCTATTGGCTCCCTAAAACTCATTTTTGATTTTATAATTCAAATAATTCCCAAATAGTAGACAGATATGTACATACATACTTGGAAACAATAGCTATTGAGATATTGATAGGTTATTAATTTTGTTTGACTTGTATAAATCAATATCCTCTTCCTCTTTAATGGAGGAAAATGCAGTTGGCTAAGGAGTCTATTCATTGTGAACTACTTTGGTGGTACTTCAATGCTCTTCTTGCCTTTGTCAATTAAGTGTCTGTCTATGTGTAAGCTTATCATCTTGAGACAGGTCATATGCAGCAATCTTCACCCAATTTGGACAAGCAAAAGACTAGTAATGTTTCTTATCCTTTTCTTTGAGTTCTTCCAACCTTACCATCTTAGACTTTCACTTCCTCTGAAGACTCTTGATCTTGCAACAAGCATAGTCAAGAAAGAGAAAGAAAAATAACCTGTCAATTATGTAGATGAGAGAGAGAGAGAGAGAGAGAGAGACCTTGTACCAAACACATTCAAGGAGAAAGAAAAGTAACCCATTTATATATATATTATAGAGAGAGAGAGAGAGAGGTTTTATCAGTGTCAGAAGGCTATGCATCACAAGAGAAAAGAATGAATAAAATAACACAAGAGATTAATTCTATGGTAGCTGCTTGGACTGCAGAATTCCATGGTCCAAGGAGTGACCACCATCAAGAACTCATCCAATGGTGGTCAGGAGATCAAATCCCTATGATCGAACCCTGTGTGGAGATCAAGATCAAGTGACCAACCTGTGAAAGAGGAGGAGGTAAACAGAGGCCAAAAAGTCAGCTCTGGCACAGATTAGTCCAATGATGGCCATCCCTTCACCTTCTTCTTCCGTGCCTCCCTTCAGCTTGTCTTCATCTACATATCTGGGAATTGGCTCATCAGATCCCAGAAAGCTCCGGGAGAAGGAAGAGTAGGAGTTGACAGCAAGTTGGTAGCAGGACTGGACGAGTAGTTGCTTCCTCCATCGAAGAAGCTCCGATTGCCGCTGTTGATGGTGGTGGCGAAAGCTGGACTCAGGTCATGCAAGAAGCTGAGCACACTCGGGTCGAACGAGGGAGAGAAGAGGTTGGGAGATATCGGGGGGAGCGACGCCGGAACCGGCGACAGGATCCCCGGGAAGGAAGCAGGCCGGTCGATTTCCCACTGGTCCACGGAAGCCGCTCGTGGCGACGACGTCGCCTTTTCGAACGAGGCGATGCGGGCGGCGGGAGAGAGCGCGCCGCCGGGCGGCGACGGCGGTGGCGGGAACTGGGAGCCGGAGTTGGAGCCGGTGAGTCGTTGGACCAGCGTCATGAACTCGCTGGGATCGGTGTGGATGATCTTGGGCGAGACGGCGTAGATGATGACCGGGTCCCGGTGCTGCTGCGGGGGTGGCCGAGGCGGCAGATCCGCCGGGGGTTGGGAGTGGTGGGACGGCGCCACGGGGGGCTTCTTGATCTTGTAGGAGTCCTTGCTGACCCTGAGAGGAGCAGGTCGCGGGCCCTGCAGCTCACGCCGCGGCGACGGCCGGGACTCCGAGGGATCCATGTATAGGACTGGTCTTGCTGGGGAGGAGGAGAAGGAGAAGCTTAAGGTGGAAGGGTAAGAAGTTTCGTTGGGGGCGGGGGCGAGGCCGAGGCCATGTTCTTTAGGTAGAGAGAGAAGGAGAGAGGAAAGAGGCAATGTGGAAAAGTAAGAGTCAAAACTTATTTTAGCGGCCGAGTCAATTGACAGACCGCTTATTATTTTAGTCAAACTTTCTTTATATATATATATATATATATATAGAGAGAGAGAGAGAGAGAGAGAGAGAGAGAGAGAGAGAGAGAGAGGGAGGAAATATTATACTGAATTCAGGGTGTCCTACATAGCATATATATGATATTTTTTAAAAATTAAAATTTTATTTTTTTTACATAGCATATTTTTTATTTTATTCTTGTAAAACATCTATTATTTTTTAATGATAAGATTATCCTAACTTCCGTTCTATCGTGGTTGTCGTACCACGCTATATAGTGGGCTACCTCTATTACCATGAGGATTTGCTATGACATATTTCTTATTGTGGTTGTCCTATCATGTTATATAGTGGGCCACCTTTGTCATTGCGAGGCTTTGCCACGACTCATTTATCATTGTCCTTATTATCTTTGCAACGAGGGCTCGCTTGATCTCTCTTCTCATTGTTGCTTTAGTCACTCTTTCGAAGATAAAGGTCGAGGAAGAGAGGGACAGAATGATCATTGTTGATGTGGGAGGAGATAAGACAGGAGCATTTGAAGGAAGTAGGAGGGTGAAAAGTAATTGGGAAGTCGAGGGTGAGGTTATGACATCATGGACAGTAACAAAAAAAAGATAGGAGCTACGTCTCATCCTCTTTTGCGCCACTTGTGGCCACTTGACGAAGGCTTCACCAGATCAAGATTCAATGCGAAGGGGCTTCATAGACGAAAATGATAATCATGCAAAGAGGCAGAAGTGACAACACGATGAGTCCTTGTTGCGAAGATGACAAAGATAATAACAAGAACCTCGGGTGATGAAGGTAGCTTGTGATACAGTCCGATAAGATATAGGTGAGAGACAGAGGTGGCTACGGTGATGTCACGATGGATAGGACAAAGGTAAATGTAATCTCACTCAGAAAATAAGGCGTGATACATGACAATAAAGAAAAAAGATGTGCTATAATAAAAAAAATAAAAACTTTTTCTTAGAATTTATCTCTCTCTCTCTCTCTCTATATAAAAACCTAAATGAGGAACAAATATTACGTAAATATTTTAATTAGACATCAAACATATAACAAATACGTCATGTTATTATCATTGATAAAGATGTTGATTGGGTAATTAATATTATCTTAGGAAAGGATCCTATAAATATTTTCATAAAGAGGGACAATGATCGATCATTAATCTACAATCTTCTTGCATTATCTTTGATTTCAAGCTCTCGAAGCTTTACTTGCTGCTTACCAAAACACAAACAAAATTAAATGACATAGTATTAGCTCAGTGACTGCATGAGACGCAACCAAGTCCCACTCCATAATTCAACATACATTACTTGACAATATCAATCATTAGATCATCCAAATGTTGGCGAAACTTGTTGCTTACAAACCATCATGTTGTCATGCATGTCTTGTGAACACAATGTCTCATCTGTGATAGTTCAGATCACATGAGAAGACATGGCCAATGTTTTGCAGCCACATTTGACAGTATACGTGCTCTCTTTATCTTCCAAAGTCAACTTAGACACACTGCTTCCAAAGTCAACTCAGACAGAGCTCGGTCACGTCGACTGGTCGTCGAAGAACAGCCACAGCTCAATCGATGCTGTCGCGGTGGTAGGTGATGCCGGCGGCGGTGGTGATAGGTTCCTTCACGATCTCAAGTGATATATATGTCCCACCCATGCAAACGCTGCTTTCTTCCTTATCCGCCTTTGCCGTTCTCTATTAGATTTGATGAGTGCAAGACGAGGGCCAATCCGTGGTCACCTAAGGTTTAAACCTCTACGTTAGGCCCGAGCATTTTGACCGCTGCTAGTGGAACTTCAATGCCGGATCTCAATATAGTCACCATCGGTGTACAGTAGTCTCATGATATCTGTAATAGCAGAGAAATTTAGGTTCATCAGCGATTCATTCAGAGTCCACAAGGGGTAGCGGTCAGCCCCAGTGACGGCGGATCATCTCCACGCCGGCGTTCATCACGCCTTGCTTCTCTCCCTCTGATGCTGTTCCATTCTACCTCACTGCCTTCGGAGTCCAGACGAAGACCGTTTTGGTACATTCAAAGCAATTCTAGATGGGCTGACGATCGAATAGCCATTGTCATCGCCAACTTCTTGTCAGCAGCATGTTGCGATCGATCTAAATATAACCACACCATGATGTTTCAGGTCATCGGTTGAAGTGTTTTCTGTAACCGTGTGGAAGGATCCAATTTATCCCCACACCATCTATCATGAGAATTGTCTTCCATTGGAATTCAAGTTTTGCTCAGATCTCATAGCCGAAGCAGAAGGTCAAGCAAAACCTGCAGCCTCTTCTTGTCCTGTGTGGAAAGAAACCGAGGGAGAAAGGTCAGCTGTGGGGTTAGCTGGACATGGAAGAAGTGGAAGAAACATGATCAAAGAATGCCAGTTCACAGCATGTACTTTTTATTCGAGTCTTGAGAGGAATCTGATTCAGATCAGTCCAAATCTGCAACATGAATTCTTAAGTAATAGGATTTGACCTCACACATATATCAATCGCGATCTCGAGCTAATGTTGACTTTCTCACATGCTTCTCTGCACCTCGTCTTAAAAGTCCAAGATGACAAATCAAACGGCCAATATCCAGCCGCGTGTCAATCTAGAGTCTGGAAAGGGTTCTTTTACAAATATATCCTTTCACAGTATAAATATGTTATATATATATATATATGCCTCAAATACTTGTGTATATTGACATATGTAAAAAAGAAAAAGGATTATTAATCTTATTATAAGTAACTAATTTGTGTTAGAAATATAAAATTAAATTATCTAAAATTCTTTTGCTAATTTAATTGAGTATCTTTTTCCTCTTTTTTATTTTCATTTTAAGGAGCATTTCAAGATAATATTGAAGACTGTCTGATAAAAAAAAGTCACTCAATCTGATGGATATTAATGTCAAATTGAAGAAAATATTATTATATTAACAATCAAATCAAATAAAGGATATAAAAATGATTAGAAAAGCAAAATAAAAAGCCTTGCAGGGGCGTAAACGTAAATTGCGAGAATTCAAGGACAACGACGACGCGACTCCTTCCCTCCTTCAACAAGGCGTCTCGGCTACCGACCCCATCAAGCAATCCATCCATCCATCGCCGAGCGGGCGAGGAGACACGAGGAGATCGCCGTCGATGGGGGCTCCGCAGGCGATCGAGATCCTGACGCAGAGGGCGAGCGTGCTGCGGGAATCGCTGCAGCGGAGTCGATCCAATACGGAGAGCATGGTCGCCATGCTCGGCTCCTTCGACCACCGCCTCTCCGCCCTCGAATCCGCCATGCGCCCCACCCAGGTTCATCTTCCTACCCCTTCGAACTTGAAATGCTCTGGATTATGCGTCGGATCTTTGATCGGTTGGTTGCAGGTGAGGACGCGTGCCATCAGGACGGCTCATCAGAACATCGAGAACACATTGAAGGCGACGGCGGTCGTATTGACGCATTTTGATCTCCTGCGGCAGGTTCGACAGCTCATCCACATGTTTAGCATGTTTGTGCTTTTCTCTTCTCTCTGACTTGTGACATGGAGTTCGTTTCTTCTTCGCCCTTTTGTTTGATTTGACTTAAAGTATGCTTATAATGGGTTGGAATTTCCAATTCATGTGTTCTAGTGTGTAATGCCATAGTTCATGAATTTACGGTTGCTTCCAAGATGTAATTTTGGAAACTCAAATTAAACTGAGGAAATTATGAGAGAGAGAGAGAGTGTGTGTGTGTGTGTTCAATGTTAGATAGAACACTTACTCTATAATCATGCATGATTTTATGTGTAATTGGTATTTTTATATGTGATAACACCTAGAAGCTTGACTGAATAGTTGATAGTTAGAGCTCTTGGTACTTAAAGTGTGCTTTTAATTGGTTGGGATTTCTAATTCATGTGTTCTCGTGTGTAATGCCATAGCCCATGAATTTATGGTTGCTTCCAAGACGTAATTTTGGAAACTCAGATTAAAATGAGGAAATTATGAGAGTGAGAAAGAGTATTCAATGTTAAATAGAGCACTTACTTTATAATAATGCATGATTTTATCTGTAATTGGTATTTTTATATTTGATGATACCTAGAACCTTGATTGAATAGTTGATTGTTCACTTGGTGAGAAACCAATTCCCCTGCTTGCCAGTGCTTTAATCTACTAACTAATATCATTCTGGAAAAGATAACTGACTGCTCTGTTTCTTGGCACATTTAAATCTGTCCATGTTTCTGATTTAGTAATCTTGCTTGTGAAGGCTGAGGTTGCGATACTGAAGGGACCAGATGAGGATCTAGAAAGTTTTCTTGATGCAGTTGATCTGTTGAAATGCAACATCAGGTTTTTTAGCACAAACAAAATCTCCACGAGTGAATATGGTTTGTTAAACCATGCAAATAATCTGCTATCTAAGGCAGTTGTAAAGCTGAGGGATGAATTTAGGCAACTATTAGCTACTTACAGGTATCTTTTTTCAGATTATTCTTCTCGCTGTCTCTTTTCTCACAATGTTGCAGATGCTTTCAAGTTTCAACGAACAGTAACAATTATCTAAATAAATATATGATCTGAATTACAATGAACATATAATTCAAGTTTTGCATCCATGTCCAGAAAATTGCAGTTGCCATTGTGTCCTAAGTTGAGTTTATTTGTTTTGTTGCAGCAAACCAATTGATCTAGAATTTATTGCCAATTTTCCTCCCAACTCCTTGCGATCACTATCTCAAACAACTGGAAGCCAATCCGATAGTGGCAACCATGTGCCCGCCAACAATCATTCTGAGCATCAAGGCAGGAGCTTGGAAACTCCTGTGTACAAGACACCAACTCTCATGCCTCCTAGGATCCTACCTTTGCTTCATAATTTAGCTGAACAGCTGGTCCAAGCTGGATACCAACAACAGTGCTCAAGGATTTACAGGTACGG